TTTCACTTATCAAAAGGTTGAGAAAGCAACTTGGAGAAATTCTGTCCTGAATCTGATTCTTACTAAAAAGGTTGGTCACTAACTGATTACCAAGGGTAGAAATGATGGGAACTTTTGGATTTAAGTAAAAATAGAGCTAGAGGAGAGAAAAGCCAAACAGAGAAAAGTGGAAACAGAGTAGGGCCACCAAAAATAACTAAAAGGTGAAGGGTGTCAGTAAAGCTATGTTAGGAAAAAGAAGAGGATTAGAGAATAGGAGAACTAATTGGGGTGAATGGGAGAGTGATAATTGACAATAGAGGGAAGACAGAGCTGATTCATTCTTATCTTACTTGTGTTTTTTTTTTTAATTTACACCAAGGAAAATGACTTTTATTCTCAAAATTATAAAACAAAAATGGCAGCACCTAGCTGCCCTTAATGAATTAAAATTCTTTGGCATACACAAACTGTGTGCTTGTGTACTAAAAGGACTAGTGGGTTGTATGTGTGCTTTCTGAACCACTTCTGGTGATAATACGAAAGATCCAGTGACTCAAAGGGTAGTCATTAATGGTTCAATGTCAGCTTGGCAAGAAGTCCCATGGTGCTGTTTAACATTTTTATCAGTGATTTGAATAAAGATATAGATGCTTGCTTATCAAATTTGCAAGACAGAAGGGAGGGAGAGCACAGTAGAGGAAAGAGCCAGGATCTAAAATAATCTTGACAGGCTAGAGCATTGAACTGAATCAAAGTCTTACACTTGGGTTCAAAAAATTAACTTCACAAGTACAAAATAGAGGAAAATGGCTAGAACAGTTTGTTTGAAAAAGATGCATTTTAAAGGAAGGGAATGGACTGTGTGGGGCACAGAGAGTGAGTCCACTCGTGGGAGATGGTCAGTGCAAAAGCAGGCAGACAAGGTCCAATGAGGCTAGAAGAACAGGTGGAATCTGGGTTGTAAGGGTTTTAAAAGCTAAACAGAGGAATTTATGTTTTGTTCTAGAGGTAATGGGAAACCATTGAAGTTTGTTGAGTAGGAAATGCTATGCTTAAGGAAGACTACTTTGGCAGCCATCTGTACGATGGAGTGGAGTGGTAAGAAATTTGAGGCAAGGAGACCGAGTAGGAGGCTTTTTCAATATGTAAGTGGGAGGTGATGAGGCCTTAAACTAAAATGGTAGCTGTGTGAGTGGAAAGAGGGTTAAGACTCGAAAAATATTGTGAGGGTAAAAATGGCAAGATGTGTGGTACAGTTCAGTGAGGAGTCCAGGATAATATCAAGATTATGAACCTGGAAAATGATGATTCCCTCAATAGAAATAAGGAAGTTTAGAAGAGAAGAGGGTTTGCAGGGGTGGGGAGCCTGCGGCCTTGAGGCCACATGTGGCCCTCTAGGTCCTTGGGTGAGGCCTTTTGACTGAGTCCAAGTTTTACAGAACAAATCCTTTTATTAAGGGGGTTTGTTCTGTGACGTTTGGATTCAGTCAAAGGGCTGCACTTGAGGACCTAGAGGGCCACATGTGGCCTTGAGGCCTCAGATTCCCCACCCCTGGAGGGTAAAGGTAATGAGTCCAGTTTTTAGACATGTTGAGTTTAAGATGTCTTAATGATAGCTCCTTCTCTGTGTTCTTCAGAGTTCCCAAAATAGTGCTAGGACCTTTTCAGGGACATAGTAATAATTAGTAATTAACTGATAATTAGTTGTTGACAGACTTTGCCAGTTTTTGTTTACATATTTGTTTTTTAACAAAATTACATTTACAAACAATGGATATTAAAAATAGTTTTACATGTAATTGGGGAAAAATATTTTTAAAAATCACATTTACAGAGAACTTAACTTTACGTTCATTTGCAGTTTAAAAAATGTTAAAAGTCAGATTATCAATGGTAACAATTGAAGATTCAAAGTTCTTTTCCTAGTAGAACAAAATCCTCTATTTGTTTTTAAATTCTTAGCTCAATCAAATTAAATTTCAAATGTGAAAGATGTACTTGTAAATGACATTGTGTTATTATTTTCTGGAGTATTTTTTTTTCCTTCCCTTTCTGAATTAGCAGAGGACTTACATTATCTGGATATAGGTACATTTATTTCTGTCAGCATAATTTTATGAATCATATGATTCTTCTCAAGCAAATGAATCATTCTGAAATTTCTTCATGTTTTTTGTTCACGAAAAAGGGAAAATATCCCCTTTTAAAATTATGTATGACGTTTTTGCTCTTGAGAAACATGCACATTAGCAGTAAAAGCTTAATTTATCCAATTAACAAGATCACAGAATATCAGAGTTAGAAGGTAACTCAGACGCCATCTAGTCCAATTCATCTAGACCTGAATTTGTCGTGAAGCCTTTGATTTAAAGCCCCCCCAAAGAGCTGGAGCCCATTGTCTTTCAGAGTAACCTGCTCCACTTTGAGATAGCTCTGATTGTTAGGAAGTTTTCCTTACGTCATTTCTACATTTGCAGCTGTAACTTCTACCCATTATTCCTACTTTGCTTTCTAGAGCCAAGCAGAGCCTGTCTTTTCTTCATGATCAGCATCCAAATTTTTGAAGATAGCTAATATATCCCAGCTGGGTCTTCTCTAGTTTTTTCAGCTAATTCCCATATAGCAAAGAACTACGGGCCCTCTGCTGAGTTCTACTACTACCCCTGACCCTTGTTATGACCCAGCTGTCAGTGTGAACGTCACTTAACCTCTTGGCCTCTATTTCCTCATCTGTAAAATGGGGACAATCATAGCACCTGCCACAGAGGGTTGTTCTGAAGATCAAATGAGATAACATGTAAAGTGTGTCGTGAACTGCTAAAAGTACCTTTTAAAGTGCTGTGTAAGTGGCAGCTATCATCGTCATCTTGGTTCCCCTCTTCTGGAAACTCTTCAGGTGTTCTTAATGTTCTTAAAATGTGGCAGCCAGAACTAAATACAATATTCCATTTGTGATTGAGCAGGAGTGAGTACAATAGGACTGTTGTTCAGTTCTTTAGTCATGTCCGACTCTTTGTGACTCCCTATGGGGTTTTCTTGGCAAAGATACTGGAGTGGTTTGCCATTTCCTTCTCCAGGGGATTAAGGCAAACAGAGGTTAAGTGACCTGCCCAGGGTCGCACAATCAGTGAGTGTCTAAGGCAAGATTTGAACTCAGTTCTACCTGACTCTAAGTCCATCTATTTATCTACCTAGCTGCCTCCACTATCCCCAATAGTGTCCTCATCCAATTCTCCTGTGTTGCCTCCCAGTTGTGATGAAATGTTTGATACCAAAGAAGGCTAAAACCATTATTTAGAAAGGAGTTTAAGTTGTTTTTTTTTTCATCTCTGTCCTCATTACAATGCTAAGTTAAAAAATGTTCTGTATGTTTTGAAGAGATATATTTGGCATGTAATACATTCAAATTGTTCTAAAAAGTGTTCTAGGTCAAATGGCAGTGACTATGCAATTATTCATCCTGAATTCGCCATTAGCAATGTAAGTAAGATGCTATATGCAAAAAGGGCATGTGGCAATAATGGCGTGATCAGCGTTTATACTTGCCCTCCTGTACCAGGTTTCTTTTTGTCCTCCCACTCTGTCCCCTTGGGCTCCAGCTGAAGCTAACAGAGTAAAGAAGGTCCATGTCACTTGTTGGCCCTGGGGTCAGCTTTGGATTATCTTTTCCTGTAGAGGAAGAGTTAATGAAGATAACAAAATGAAATGAAATCTGGTCAACTAGGTGAAAGGCAATCCAGAGAGCCACATCAGAGATTTCTGCCTCTACCTTCTCTCTTAAGTTTTCTTGCCAAGAAAAATGGGGCCACAGCCCAGCAACTAGATGGCTGGGTGGCGCAGCCTAACAGTAGGGTATGGCTACCAATGGGTGTGAATAAATAGGAGTTGATAATACTTTGATTACAACTGCAATTAATCAAAACCCACCTAACCAGAAACCTCAATTAGAAAAAAAAGTTTCCCTTCTCCCCACTTCTTCAAGAAAGATATAAACTAAAAGATCTTTGAGGTCAAACCTCATTTCTGATTCTATTCAAGGAATTAGAATTAGGTATATATTTAAATAAGCAATCACAGTGATAATGTACTTTAGGTATGATTAAACCATGTCCCTGAAGATCCCAGTACATTGAAGAAAAATTTACTTTGTATTCGTTTCACTCTAATTAGTAAGAACAAAATGGAAAACTTTATCTTATAAATATTTTCAACAGTAAGTGTAAAATTTTTTAAAATGCCTTTCTAGTTATTTAACAAAAAATTGCCCCCCATCCTCTTAGTGTTCTAGTTTGTTGAATTTTTACTGCAATATACGTGTCATTTTACACAGAAGATATTTTATCTTGTTCCTTGTGACCATAGTTAGAAGATAAGAAGAGGAAAAAATAAAGAAGACAGAGTAACAATCAGAAATAATACAGTGTCTGCTCAAAAAATAACTGAGTCCTCAAAACTCTAAAAGAGTGTTTGGGTTTTCTTTAGCCCTCTTAGAAAATTGATTAATTATCAATTGCCCTTTTCTGCTTCTCAAAATTTCTTCTCAAAATCTCCCATTTTCTAATTTCTTCTTTCTCAAACATAGAAAGTTATTTCTATTGCTAAAGCCTATCTTTCAGCCTGTATCCTTGATCTCATCTCTTCCCATTGCCCTCAGGGCCTTGCTTCTGAAATTATCTATTCTCTATCATTCATCTTCAATCTCTCACTCTCTCCCTACTGGTTTCTTCTCATCTTCCTGCAAACATGCTAAAAATCACATAACTCCATAGTTGGAAGGAACCCCAGGGGCCTTCAGGCCTAACAAGTACGTGACTGAGGACCCTCTACAACATCCTCAGTTAATGGTCATCCAACTTTTCCATGAAGAGCTCTATAATTGAAGCTCTCAGGAGTTTTCCAGTTATTAAAACAAAACAAAACAAAACCCTATCCCATCTAGCTCCCCTCTTATATTTCTCCTCCTTTTTCTTACTGGACTTTTTGAAAAAGTTATCTATACCTCATAACTCTATTCCCAGAGTCTCCATACTGTGCCACATTCACTCCAGGCATCTTCTCTATCCCAGTGGAACCTTGGACTTGACCCAGGACGTGGGTCTCTGATGGTAAGCCTTCACTTTATCTTGCCTGGAAAAAGACCTCCACACCCCTTTCCTGTCTTCTCCACGCCGTGCTACTAAGCATCTCCTTCAAACCCCAATTTCCAGCTCCCCTTCCCACATAGAATGTAAGCTTATTGAGGTCAGAGACCATCTAGCTTGGTTACATTTGTGGCCCTGCTACTTTAACACAGGGTATGGTACCTAGTAAGCACTTAGTAAATGCTCTATCTACTACTTCACCAGTCACTCTTTCCTTAACCCTTTGCCAGCTGGTTACTATTCCCAGCACTCCTCGACTGAAACTAATTTCTCAAAAGTCACCTCCAAATCCCCAAATCCAATGGCCTTTGTTCAATTCTATACTCCTTGATTCAATTCAATAAATATTTAAGAGCTTTTTCCTTATAAAACTTTATGCTAGAAGCTTTGGCTCACAAAGACAAAAACTAAGTAGTTCCTGCTCTGACAGATTTTACATTCTGTGGTAGGTCAGGGTAGAGGAATGAGTAGAGCATAAACATAAATGGGGCAGGCTTTGCAGGGGAAGTAATACTGGGCTGAAGGAAGACTAGGATTCCTAGGGGTAGAGATGAGGAGGAAATGAATTCCAGGTAAGGGAGATGGCCTGTGGAAATGCCCATGGGCAAGACCTAGAGTGTCAAGTTCAGTGAATAGCTGGTAGTCCGGTTTGGCTGGAATGCATAGTTCATGAAGGGAAATAGTATGAAAATAAGGGTGGAAGGGTCAGTAGGATCCAGACTGCAAAGGGTCTTCAGTGCCAGGCTGAGGAATTTCTATTTTATCCTAAAGACAAGGAGGAGCCACTGACAATTTTTGAGCATGAGTGAAATGATCAAATATCTGTATACCTTGGGGAAACTATTTTAGCAGATTTATGGATGTTCAATTAGAGTATCTCTGTGCCAATAACTCTCAAATCTACATATCCAGTGCTCTTATCTCTCCTGAGCCCCGATTCTTCATCTCTTACTGCCTCTTGGACATCTCCCCCTGATGTCCTATGTGCATTTCAAACTCAAAATGTCCAAAACTAAAGTCATTATCTTTCCCTATAAACCCCTTGTTCTTCTTGACTTCCCTGTTTCTGTCAAGTAGTCCACTATTCTTCCAGTTAACAGCCTAGGAGTTATCCTCAGCTCTTCGTCTTTACTTCCCATATCCATTCAGTTACCAAGTCTCATCAAGTTCACTTCCTTAACCTTTCTTCCATCTATCTTATTTCTACTCACACCAAAACCAACTATTCCAGGCCTTATCACCTCTCACATGGACTGTTGCAATATCCTCTTTAAAAAATAAAAATAAGAGTTTTTATTGGTGTCTTCTGCTTCTTACATCATCATAATTATCCCAAGTATCTCTTCCTTTTCCCTTCCCCAGGAAGCTATTCCATATAACAAATAGTATTTTTTAGAGGAGGAAAAAAAAATCAGCACAACTGATTGATAGATTGAAAAGGTCCATGGGGCAGCTAGGTAGTGAAGTGGATAGAGCACCGGCCCTGAAGTTAGGAGGACCTGAGTTCAAATCTGGCCTCAGACTAAACACTTGACACTTACTAGCTGTGTGACCCTGGGCAAGTCACTTAACCCCAATTGCCTAAAAATTAAAAAAAAAGAAAAAGTCCAAAAACATCCACAATATGTAATACCTCCTATCTCCACAGAACAGTGGGTTGGGGGGGGGCATCCTCTCATATTTCTTCATTTGAGTCCTGCTTGATCTTTATAATTTTGTTATATTAACTTTTTGGTGTGTGGTTGTTCTTAACATTTACATTATTGTAGTTGCTGTGTATATTGAGTTTTTTTTCTCCACTTACTTCACCCTGCATCAGTTAATGTAAATCTTTCCGTGCTTCTCTATATTCATCATTTCTTACAGCATAGTAATGTCTTGTTTCATTCACATACCACAAGTTTAGCCATTCCCTGGTCAATGGCCATGATTTTTGTTTCCAGTTCTATGTCTCTGGATTGGTTTGCCTTGCCTCCCATCCATCCTCTTCACAGCTACCAAACTGATGCAAGTGTGACCACCTCTTGGAGACCTGAGCAAGAGGCACCAGTAGCTCCCCAAGCTGCCTTTAGGATAAAATATTAACTCCTCTATTTGTCCTGTGAAATGCTTTAAAATCTGGCTCCAGCCTATCTTTCCAAACTTATTCTACATTATTCGCCCTCTGCACACCAGCCAAACTGGATTTCTTGCTGTTCCATGTATGCAGCATTTCACTCTATAGCTTTGCACAATGCGTCTCCCTTTTTGTTGTTCAGTTGTTTTCAGTCGTATCTGACTCTTTATTTAGGGTTTTCTGGGTAGACATCCTGGAGTGGTTTGCCATTTCCTTCTACAGCTCATTTTGCAGATGAGGAAACTGAGGCAAACAAGTTGACGTGATTTGCCCAGGGTCACCCAGCTAGTCAGTGTCTGAGGCCAGATTTGAACTTAAGGAGATGAGTCTTCCTGACTCTAGGCCTGGTGCTCTATCCACTGCACCATCATGCCTAGAAAGCATGAATCTTTACCTCTGCCTCTAAGACCCCTTAGCTCCCTTCAAGTCTCAGCTCAAGTGCAGCTTCTACCAAGAGGTGAATCTAGACAAGATCCCATTCGTATTATGAGAAGGTACTAATTACAGAAAACAAGTCAACAGAAGAAAAACAACACGAAGAGTCCAACAGTGGGTTTTTTGTAAAGGTTACAAGGGACCTTAACTGTGTTAGCCTTCGTACATTCAGCTTCTGGGTCTAAATCCAGAAGCTTTCCCGCTCTTTTTGTGGCTAAACCATACTGCTCATTCAGAACAGGAGTAAAAGCATTCTCAAGGTTATTGGAAGCATGGGCTGAGTCTATAAGTCCATTAAATGAAGGCCATTCACTCATTTCAAGAATAATTTCTTGTATTTTATTGTACTTTCTTGTCCTTCATTGATAAGGCACCGTTTTCATGGGTGTGTGTGTCAGGCCTTTTCTGCTACCCCAATTGTTAAAGTCCCCATCAAATCAATGCATATTTTATAGACATCCTGTATCTTATTATCTATGAAATATTTTGTTCCTCCTTAGTAGAATATGAAGTCCTCAAAGGGAAAGACTGTCTTTGTCTTTGCATCCCCTGTGCCTAATTTAGTGCCTGGCACATGATAAGTGCTTAATGAGTGCTTGTTGATTGCCAGGTTGGAGGGGAGAGATTAGAAGGAGGAAGAACAGTTAATGGGCTCTTATAGTAGTCGAGGTTAGAGGTGATGAGTACCCCAATTAAAGTAGTAGCCATGTGACTGGAAAGAAGGAACAGATATGAAAGCTATCAGGAGGCCGAACTGACAAAACCTTAGAACAGATTGAATTAGTGGGACACAGAAGGGAGAATATTCCAAGATGACTCAATCAATATTTATTAAACACCTACTAAGTACCAGGCACTGTGCTCAGGTTATATGGCCTAGGAGATTTGAAGGAGGGTCAGGAATAGTAGGAATGTTAAGTTTTATATTGGAATGTTGATTTTGAGATGCCTATGCAGCGTCCAGGTAGAAGCGTCCAACAGGTAGTGGACAATGAGGTATTGGAGTTCAGAAAAGAGATTAGGGCTGGATAGAGAAAGAGAAATTCAGTAGTCCTCTGTGTCAACATGATGCTTTAATTCACAGGAGTAGATGCCGTCATCACCCAGGAAAAGAATGTAGAGTGGGAAGAGAATGGGGCACAGGACAGACCCTTTGTGAAAATGGGAAACCCAGCAAAGCACACTAAGAAGGAGTGGTCATATTTGTAAAATGGAGAACCAGAAAGGAAAAATGTTGTGGAGACTGGTAGAGTAGGAAGAGACTATCTAGGCCAAGTATCAAAAGCTTCAGAATCATCAAGGAGGAGGATGACTGAGAAAAGGCCATTAATGTTATCAACATTCATCATAAAGCAATCCATGATAACCATGGAGAAAACAGATGAGATGGAAACCAGACTGAAAAGGTGTAACAAAGTGAATGGATAATAAGAAAAAATGGATAATAAGAAGCAGCAAACACATACAATTCCTTCTAGGAATTTGGCAATGAAAAGGAAAGATAAAGGATGAGGAGATGTATGGTCAAGGACAAATTTTTTTAAGCAAAGCGTGTTTATAGACAACAGGGAAGGAACCAATAGATAGAGAGAAATTGAAGTTAAGAAAGAAAGATGGGACAAACTTCTGAAGGAGAAACAAGGGAAAAGTATTGAGGACCCAAGGAGAGATGTCAGCCTTAAGAAGGAGAAATGCCACTTCTTTCTCAGAAGAAAGGAGAAAAAAATGAGTGAAGATATAGAAGGTGCTCCTTAATCACTCTGCCTCATCTGATCCATTGTACACCTTGAATTTATAGATGCTTTCTCCTTGTTAGCTTCTAAGACCTTATACCATCCCAGTTCACCCACCTTTGATTGCTGTATCCTCTGCTAACTCTTCATCTTCCTCCCAACCACTTCAGATTGGGTTTTGACCCAAAGTTCTGACTGTGGTCCTTTTACTACAGAATTTCAATATAAGAAGGAACCTCAGAAACCATCTAGCCTATCCCTGAGCTGAATGAACAAAAATCCCTGGTATAACATTACTAACTATTGCTTGACAATTTCTAGCAAGGTGGAAACCCATTGCAGCTTTATATAGCTCTAATTGTTAGGGAAATTGTACATTTATCGATCTTAAAATTGTCTTTTTTGCACCTTCCACTCTTTGATCTTTGTTCTGTCCTGTGGTATCAAGCAGAAGCCTTTTCATTAAGATAGCCTTTCAAATAATTGAACACTGCTAGTATGCCCCAACCCCAACTCTTCTCCAAGATAAATATTCCCAGTTAGTAAGTCCCTATGAAATGATCTCAAGACCTTTCACCATCTTGATTGCCCTTCTCTGAATACTCCCCAGATTATCAGCATCCTTCCCAAAATATTACATCCAGAACTGGCTAGTCCTTATCTCTCTTAATGCACCTCCCCCACATCTGATCCTTGTGAACTTTACTTTTCTTTGAACCTAAGTGTAAAACATTAAATATATCCCTATCAAATTTCATCTTGTTAATTTGACCCAATATTCTGGCCTGTTAAAATCTTTTGCGCTCTTATCATCCTGTGTGTAGCATATCCTGCCTAGTTTGTATCATGTGCAAATTTTGAAGAATATACCATCTCTCCCATTATTGAGTTATTGATAAAGATACCAAACAGCACAAGGCCAGGAATAGGTCCCTCTTCTAAGTTGTTATTGACAGCTGTGGGTATGGGTATTTGACCAATCAGGCTGCAAGTCTGCTGGTGACGCTATCAAGCAAGTGGCCAGAAAGTAGAATTGAAGTGAGCCTGAGATAGTGGGCCGGGTGAGGCAAGGATTAGGAAGCAGGGCCTCAGGGCAGAAGTTTCGGAGATGAGAGGGTTAAAACCTCCAGGGCATGGTTGCTAGTACTGAGGAAAAGGTCCTTGGTGAGTCTGGTTAGAAGATGGCTGTGCTTGTTGATTGATTAACTGATTACCACTTAAATCAGGTAGTATAGAAAGGGGTCTGGGAAATGAGGTGCTAAGAAACAGAAGGTCTGAGTTCTGTGCCTTCATCTTCTAGTGATCTTAAACAAGTCATTTAATTCAACTGAGTCTTGGTTTTTCTGTTGTGTAATGGAAATGGTTCCTTCTCACCCCCATCCAAAGAGAATGTTTGAGGTCAGGGACTATTTTGGGTTTTTTGGTTTTGGCATCCCCAGGGTAGCACACTGGCTTACCCTTAGAAGGCATGTAATAAATATCTATTCAATAAATGAATGCTTGTTCCAAAGCAGTGACGTTGGTATAGGTGTCATAATGTTAAGTCTACATTTATCCTTTTTTCTTTAATTAAACAGGCATTCAAATACAAGTATGAGAATCATGGCTTTTAGAGCAGAGAGGAACCTTAGAAATCATCTACCAGGGTGGGGAGCCTGCAGCCTTGAGGCCACACATGGCCTTCTAGGTCCCTGAGTACAGCCTTTTGCCTGAGTCTAAGTTTCACAGAACAAATCTTTTTATTGAGGGGATTTGTTCTGTGAAGTTTGAATTTAGTCAAAGGGCTGCACTTAAGGACCTAGAGGGCCACATGTGGCCTCGAGGCCCACAGGTTCCCTACCCCTGACTAGGCCATTGCCTTATTTGAAACATAAGAAAACTGAGGAACAAAGAAGTTAAATGATTTGGCCAAGACTATATAGCGATTATTTTAGCTGTTTAAGAGTTTGTTAAAGGCTTTGCATATTCACATAAATGGAAAAAAGATTGGTGTGATAATAGATTTCACAATGTACAGAATTCATCAGATGTCTATCAGCAAATCAGTATTAATATGGGCTTTCAGCCATGGGATCATCACCCTCTCTTGGGTCTCTGCTGCCCAAGGTGGCAGTTAGTTATTTGTGACCTCCTATCAAAGGACTAGATGTTTTAAAAATATTTGGCAAAATGGGATTCTCCTTTCTCTGGTAGTAATAATAGTAGTAGTCTTATATCACTATATTTTATCCTGAATGCAAGTATAGCTTTTAAGCTAAAAAGGTTTTGCTCTGTTTTGAATTCATAGTTAAAAAGTAATCTTCCTGTGGACCAAAGGGAAATTTGGCTGATAGTGACCGATGCCACACTGCAGCTGGAAAATGCCAGCCTCCCAAAGACTGTGCCAGTGTGTGTGACATCATCATGTGTAATCACCCCTGAAGTCATGGAAGCCCTCACAGATGCGACATCACATTCCATCTTCTTCAAAGATGTTCTACAAGAAAATGGTAATGTTAATGGTTTGGGCTCAGAGATGGGCAGACTACAGTCAAGAAGTGATACTATATGCCCTCCAGATATTTCTAGGTCCCAGATATAGAGGTGTTAAGTCTCTAGTTTAAAATAATGGAGACTGTTGTCATAATAGCCATACTCTATGAGCTCTTTGAGATAGTGGTGACTTATGGAATGGTTCACTTAGAGTGAGGGAGCATTACTTCTCGGCACACATGTCCGCTCCCCTTATCAGGCATGAACACTTACTTATTCAGCATCTAAACAAACTAGCCAGGCTATGGCCTAACTTTTTTTTTTTTTTATGTTATCCGCTGTAGTTTTGGCTTGCTCTTAGGATTGCATTCTGCTCCTACTGCTAAGATGAGTTCACAATCTAGCCTTTGGAAGTTCTTAGTGCCACCAAGGGTTCACACTTAGAGCAGGCTGAGAAGCCTGTTACACAGTCTCAGGGACTACTTCCTTGTGCCTGCTGAAGTCACAGCCAAAGGCCTTGGAAGAAGCAACACACCCTCCTTTAGTCTTTGTCCAAGTTGTGTGAAAGATGCCAATTAGATACTTAGATAGTTGGGCTGCTTTTGACCACCTTGACATGGAGATCTAGACTACCAGAAGTTGTTTGTCAGAGAACACTTTTGAAAACAAGTAGAGTTTAAGGAATTGTAAATGTGTAAGCTTGAATCGATCAGCCTATTTTTCCAGGGATCAAGCTAAAATCCTAGCTGAATTGTGTTTGGATCCAGTGTTTGCATGGTTTTTGGTGTTTTTTTTTTTTCAACCTAGTATAAATGTACTTGTTGAGAGGCCTTGGGGCTTACACATAACACAATGCACATTTCATTGAAGACAATCTGTTGACATAAACCTGACACATGACTGAGCTTTTTCTTATGGCTCTAAGTAATTGGCAAAGGGAATTGTCTTCATTGGCATGAACAATTAACTTTTTTCTTCATTGCTATAATAATCTTCAATGTTTCTGTTGGCAGGTAGACTTATTTGTGTTGAACGAACTGTCCTCATGCTTCAAAAGCCCTTTTTGTACACGGCTGCTAGTGCTGACACCTCTGAACTGACTAGCCCAGTTATGCTAGATGAATTAGATTCTACCACTCAAGTGAACTCCATTTGTAGTGTACAAGGTTGGTAGCCATCTTAATAGAAAATATTATTTTGTACATTTAAAGGTCTTGTCTTATGAATCATTTACTTTGTGTGCCAATCAATCTTGACTTCCGAAGGGTTGAAGTCTTTTGTATTACTGATTGTCATGGTTTACCTCTAAGCCTCAGTTTTTTCTATTACTTCCCTGTGAAGTTATGGTAAAAATAAATAAATATTTATAATAAAAGATTACCCACAGGTATTAAAATTAGCAGAAATAACAAGCACTAATTTTGAATCAAGTCGGCTAGAGTTTAAACCTTTGGGGTTGAAGTCCTCAGCATAAAAATGGCCCCCCCAATCCTATTTGTTGATTTTGGAAGGGAGTGTTATGACCTTCCTTCCTGTCCCCAGCTGACAAGGTGGCCCCTTTCACCTGTTTATCCTCCTCTTCACTTGGAATATGATTCATTTATTACAACTACTATTTGTTCTTGAGCCAACGAGGTCTTAAGTATTGTACATCGTATTTTTTTAAATCTAACTTTCCTAAAGAATAATAATGATGAGGCCAAATTCTTCCTGCTATTATGACTGAACAATACTGGGAAGAATATTGATGCATCTTTGGAATTGAGAGAGTAGAGAAGAATGGATCTCCTTCCCACAAGGAAATGAGACTCTAAGCCTGAGATTGGTGTTATTTTGCTGGTATTGGTGCTGGTATTTCATGTGATGTACCCCCAAATGCCAACCATTGGGTCACAAGTATTGTCCACTTTCTGCTTATACATGTGGAAGATTAAGTATGTGAGCATTAAACATCCCCATTCTAAAATAAAATGAAACAAAACAAAACGAAACCCAAAACAACCTAGGAAAATTGCCTTGCCTCAATGTAAATTTTGCTAGTGGAAACAGAAATGTAGTCATATCAAGGTCTGGTGATGGCTAAAGCAAAGAGTGGAATTTTTTTAATTGGAGAAACAGAATTTTTATCTGAGGCATCATCTTTTTCTTTTTTTCTTTTTGAACCTTGGATTCATTTATGTCAAATTTGCTTTATGTTTAATAGATACAACTAAGCCAATAAGAAAGGTAATTTTCATAGGAAATTTTCAAAGATTTCAAACATGAAATCTGAAGGTTAATGAACAAGACAGGAGACACTCAGGGTATACTAAAACAATAGTAATAGAAAATTATTTGTAGACAATGACAAGTTAAAGTAAAATTAAGAAAAGGACAGGAACTAAGAAAAGAGATATTCATCTATGTAATGCAGATCTTAATTATAAGAGCTTACTTACATTACGTTGTCAGCTATTTGCTTCTATGACCATCCTCAAAGAATGGTACCATTTTTTTTTTCTTTTTGGTGAGGCAGTCGGGGTTAAGTGACTTGCCCAGGGTCACATAGCTAGTAAGTGTCAAGTGTCTGTGGCTAGATTTGAACTCAGGTCCTCCTGACTCCCAGGCCAGAGCTCTATCCACTGTACCACCTAGCTGTTGCAGTACCATCTTTTAAAAAAAAAATAACACATTCTTAATTTTTAAACACTGGATTCTTTTCATTTCCTTCCCTCCAAAAAAAAAAAAGTACTAGGATGTCCATTATCACCACCGTTGTTCAATATTGTACTGGAAACATTCGCTTTAGCAATAAGAGAGGAAAAAGAAATTGAAGGTATTAGAACAAGCAAAGAAGAAACAAAGCTATCACTCTTTGCAGATGACATGATGATATACTTAGAGAATCCTAGAGAATCAAGTAAAAAATTACTTGAAATAATAAACAGCTTTAGCAAAGTTGCAGGCTATAAAATAAACCAACATAAATCATCAGCATTTCTATATATTACCAACAAAGCCCAACAGCAAGAGATAGAAAGAGAAATTCCATTTACACTTACCGTAAAAAAAAAACAAAACAACTTACCGTAAACATTATAAAATATTTAGGAGTCTACCTTCCAAAACAAATCCAGGAACTATATGAACACAATTACAAAACACTTTTCGCACAAATAAAGTCAGATCTAAATAATTGGAAAAACATCAGTTGCTCATGGGTAGGCTGAGCTAATATAATAAAAATGACAATTCTACCTAGGCTAATTTACTTATTCAGTGCCATACCAATCAAACTACCAAAAAATTATTTTATGGAGTTAGAAAAAGATTCATTTAGAAGAGCAGAAAGTCCAGAATATCAAGGGAACTAATGAAAAGAAATGCAGGGGAAGGTGACCTAGCCATTCCAGATCTTAAATTGTATTATAAAGCAGCAATCATCAAAACAAAATGTGCTCACTTTCCCTGAATTCCTGCATTTCATTTAACATTCATTCACCTAACAAGTATTTCTTCAACATTTAATGTATGTGCAACATTGTACAAGGTATTTCTGTATCTGTTCTTCATCTTGATCTATTAACTGATTGATTGGAAAAATACTTGTAAGTCAAATGCTACATGTATAATATTGGGTAAGGTACTAGAGAGATACAAAAGAAATTTGACTCAATAATTCTGTCCTAGGGATGGTCAAATTGAGTCAATGGGGTATACCCACATGAAATGGTTAAGATCAATATATTTTCAGTTCTTGGGATCATAGAACAGGGACACCAGTGACAGCTATAGCAATCAAATCTAATTTTTCTGATTATGAAGCTTTTTTGGGGGGGGGGGTGAGGCAGTCGGGGTTAAGTGACTGGCCCAGGGTCACACAGCTAGTAAGTGTCAAGTGTCTGAGACCGGATTTGAACTCAGGTCCTCCTGACTCCAGGGCCGTGAAGTTCTTTATGCTTTTATGCTTTTTATCATCCATTTATATTGTGGTGAAAAGATATCATTGTTATGTTTACATAGTTTTGTGTTCATTTTTTAAGAGGTGTAGCCGCTAGGTAGGGCTGCCAAAGATCATAAAGGGAGTACGACCAGAGACATCTGTTTAACTGTTTCATGTGGTACCTAACACAGTGCCCTACCAAAATAGAATTGTAATAAATATGCTTCTTTTAATAATTACTGACTTCTCTCCTTTGACATTGCCACCACTGGGGTGCAGGCCCTGATCACCTCACACCTTGATTACTGCAATGGCCTGCTGGTGGTTCTGCTGTCTCAAGTCTCTCCCCACTCTAATCTATCCTCCATTCAGTCCCTAAAGTGATTTTCTTAAAATGCAGGCCTGATCATGTTATCTCCTAATCAGTGAACTCCAGTGGCTTCCTGTTGCCTCCAGGAGCAAAACCGAAATGCTCTGTTCGTTGGGCATTCAAGACCCTTCCTAGCCTAGCCCCCTTACCCCCTTCCAGTCTTCTTACACCTCCCTCCCTAACATGTACTCTTCAGTCTAAGGACTGAATTTAATCTAAGGCTGCCTGGGTGTTCCATGCAAAAGACCCTTCATCTCTTGGCTCTGGGCGTTTCTCTGGCTGTCCCCTACGCTTGGAATGCTCTCCCTCCTCCACTCTGACTACTGACCTCCCTGGTTTCCTTCAAGTCCCGACCAAGTCCTACCTCCTACAAGAAACTCTCCCCAACCTCTCTTAATTCCAGTGCCTTCCCTGCCTTAGTAATTTTCTATTTATCCTGTTTATAGCATGCTTTTGTACATATTTGTTTGCATGTGCCCCCCCATTAGATTGTAAGCTTCTTGAGGGCAGGGACTGTCTTTTGACTTAGCACAGGGCCTGGCACTTAGTAAGTTATTAATAAATGTTTATTGAATTGAATTTTAATTGTACCTATCATATAAATAAATCTCCATACACAATAGTCCCACACAATATATTCTCAAAAGCCAAAAGAGTAATGCTCTGTTGTATCTAAATGGTACCCTCAAAGAATCTCAACATGTACACTTCCTTTATGAAACTTTTTCTGACCTCCTCCCCATCCCCCAACTAGAAATGATCCTTCCCTCCCCAAATCTCTCATGCCTCTCTGTTCGGCTTTTTTCACAATTTGGCCTGTACTGTAGTTATTTGTGTACATATCTTATACCCCACTAGGCTGTAGGCCCTTTGGAGGTAGCAGCTGTCATTTTCCATCTCTGTGTCCTCAGGACTTTGTGTCTTAACTCAGAGACATACTGATTATGTGACCCATATGTGACCAAATCCTTCATCAGTGCTCTGAGAGGTTGTCTGAGACTAAGTTGCAGATAAGATGCCGACCTACATTGGTAGAAGGATTTCTTCATCCAGGAATCCTTTATGCTAATGAAGTCACAGGTCCAATGCCTGTCCCCAGGACTTAGTGAACTCCCTTGCACAAAGTAGGCACTAAGCAAATACTGAACTGAATTTCAAATTCTACTTTCTTCATCCCCCTAACCCCGAGGATGGTTAGCATCACTCACCATGAGTGTTGACAAATGGTAGAGACTTTTGAAGGGACTTTATTATGGGTGAAAAAAAAATGAACTTCAGATTCTAAAAGGAGTATTTTTTACTGTACAATGAAAATGCCCTTTGGGTACTGAGATAGTGCCAGTGGTTTGTTATTTTTGGCAAGACTTAGTTTAATGCATTATTAAGTCCTCTTTCCACTTGAGCTATGTTCTCTACATTCTGAAGCAATAGATAGCTCATTCTTTAAGCAAATGACAAGGGGGAGAGTCTAACCTCAGCCTGACTGTGCCCCTTGTAGCCTGATGACCCACAGCACCATAATTTAAGTCTGGAGGAACCTATAGACAGAGGATTACATGGATCCTTTACACACACACACACACACACACACACACACACGCACACGTAACTCCGCATGGTGGAAAATACTGAGCTTGCTTGCAAATATTTGTGGCTGTTACTAAATATTACTACTTCCCTTGATGTGCAAGACACCTTGGGGGTTAAAGCTGTTGCCGTTAATTTCAGATTTTATATGTTCTTCAATAAAGAATAACTAAATCCTCCCATCTGTGCTCAAGGGACCAAACTCACAGGCAACCATCTTCAGAGACCAAGGGAGGATTCACTTACCATTGTTTGTTGTTGTTGTTCAGTCGTTTTTGGTTCTGTCT